GTGACCTCGATGAAAACTTATCTAATACTTACCATYCTAACGGYGATTAGGTGAACGTTACAACAACGACAACAGGGCTGTGAGAGGATTTKATATGGATTAAACTTTCTATATGGCTTAAAGAGCATTTGGCCCAGCTTTGCTCTCAACGTCTAATCGATCCAGTAACCCATACTGATTGTTTTACCATCTTCAAGGTAGCTGATGAATGTAACTCTAAGTAAACCCCGTACCCCTTAAGGCCTTCCTTTTCGAATGTCGTCTGCCCGGCAATTTTTTGTTTGTGACAATCTACCGATCAAGCTAAAGCCGGCAGTTTCTTTGATTTATCTAGCAATGATAAATTTGAGATAAAAGCTGAACTAGAGAGTAATGTTTGAAGAGCTGGTTAGAACTGCAAGAAAAGATTCTGGATATAAATGCAGCACATTTTATATGAATGTTAATGGTGATAGTGCACTTATGCAACATGTTGGGAGAGTATAACACGACATAAGAAACTGTTCACATTGAGTATAAAGTACTTAATAATTGTTAGATAAATTTCGATGATTAATTATATACTTAAGATATTTGTTGTATATGAAGGCTTTACTTAACAATTCTTGTAACATTTTGTAAATACTTAGAATAAAGTTTTAATATTTTAGTATTCTCTTGCYCTTGCAAAACCCTTGCACGGTGCACAAATTGCATATTYTTCCACCTAATGCAACGGYACAACAACAAACACACGCAGAAAAGTATTTGCAAGGGCTATAAAATATGTCAGACTATAACCCATGTAAAAAAATAATTGCAACCCTCTGCTAGCTGCCATTTTACTTAAATACATATTTTGACATTAAATTGTTGAGGGAGATACATTTTAAATAGATTTTATTTCTATCTAAATTATAAATATTTGTTACAGTTTTTTGTTTGTGAAGAAGAATTCAGAAGGTGCGCCAATTCACAATTTATTGCGATTATTTACAATAAATTGACCGAATCAGCCGTGCGCTTGTGTATTTCGGTATAGGATTTTGGCAATCTGCAATCTTGCAAGAGCAAGAGTATCCCCCTATTAGGATATGAAATTGTATTAACTTTGTTAAATATATACGTACGTAATACGGCCGATAGCCCATGATGCTAGTGCTGCGTATTTTCTTAAGTTTGTATAATAATTGTATTATTATGTAAGCTTTTATAAAATAAAATAAAAAAAAAAAAATAAATATACGTAAACGAACACACCTAACATCTGTTAACTTTAAATTGGCTGACAGCTCACGTAATTCGGCGATATGTGGCATCACTAATCTGAATATCGTTTACGATATTACATCACAAAACAGCTGTTTTTGACAGCCGGCAAAATTTTAAAAAAGTTTTTAGTGCCACTGATATGTGCATTTATAATCATCGAATTTACTAATTTGTATCTATTTTTCAATTCATAATTTACAGTAATGTCGAATATTGTGCAATATATTATTGTGCGTAGTGATCTGCGATCCAATTTGGGTTGGCCATTAGGCGCAGTGATAGCGCAATGTTGCCACGCGACAGGTAAACCCAAATTGTCCAATGGAGGAACTTACTTTCAACACAATTTTTGATACAACTCAACCTTCCAATTATGTCGACATACTTACATCCTAAAAATTATTACATCTGACATGCTGTTCTTCCGGAATAATGGTATATTGATTTTATATTTCAGCGGCCATAACACATTTGTACGCTGATGATGAGGAGACCATTTCGTATTTAAAGGATTTAGATAATATGCATAAAGTGGTATTGGAGGTGAGCGTTTGACATATTCCTTACATATTTTATTTAATTTTTTTTTTTGTCCTCACTTAAGGCTAAAGATGAAGCGGCGTTAGTGAAGGTGGCGGAAAAACTAAAAACAAATGAAATTAAACATAAGCTATGGATAGAACAGCCTGAAAATATTCCAACGTGTATAGCAATAAAACCCTATGTTAAAGACAATGTGCATAAGTTTGTGAAAAATCTCAAATTGCTCAAAGAATAAAAAAGTAAAGTTGGAGTAACAATCTGGTTGTAATTAATCGATACATTCGCTGATGGTATTGAATACTGTTCTAACGCTAATGTTTTAGGATTCTACACTTGAATAATTAAAGCTGTGATCGCTCTAGTGATTCATTTCAAATAATTTTAAATAATAATACCACTGAGTTAAAAGTCCTTAACAAAAAGAAATCCGGGTCGGTTTCGGCTATCTAAATCTATCTGTCGCAGGAAAGGTTTAAATTAATAAATTAATGCCTGTTGAGTAAAGTTGCATTTAAGCGTCGCGAAATTATGTATGGACTGGTTTATAACATAAATTAAAGTGCTATGAAAAGTGGTTTTCGATACAATGACCTAACAATCTATTTCAAGAAATGAAATGTATACAATAACTTGGGGTTTTGTTATATATATATATTTAAACAGTTAATATTTTGTATATTAAAAATATTAATTAGATTTAAAAAAATTTTTGTGAAAACAATTTAAAACTACGAATAAACAATACAAGTAAATACAAGATTGTTTCCTTAAACAAATGCAAATCGCCTTTAATACAGTACATTTACGTATATAAATATGAATCTATTGTAAGTGTATATAAGTAGCTGCTTTAGCGTTAAGAATTATAATCCATTCTCATTTCGATACACAAAATTATAATTATTGTTTATGCATTAAATTCTTCGTAATTTCTTAAATATTCGCTGAATTCGTAAATTCTTTTTTATCGTTTGTTATTGGTGGTAATTGTGTTAAATAAATTTGTGTATATATGTATATATTAAATAATATACATGAATAAATAGCACCCGTTTTCGGAGTGATTTGGCTCATACAATAATTATTTAATACAACTATTTCTAATTGTGTTAATTCGTTACGGCACTTTTTTTTCTAAACATAATGCACTGTTAATATAATAATATGCTTGCTTAAATTAAATTTAAAATATTTTTAACTGCCGTCGGTATAAATAAGAAACTAACATTTATATATTATATATGTATGAGTGTAGTTGCTCGGTAGTAATTTAGAGATTCGGTTCGACATCGCTTAAAGCTGCACTTTTGTTGACATTTACATGATCAGCTGTAAATAACGGGTTTGTGCATTCTAATTTCGTGCAGGTCTCTGAATCGCATTTAATTCTTCCTTCAACCACTGCTGCCAGTTTTCCTGCAAAATGTATTACATAAAACCAATTAGTTTCTGAACAGTTAGAAATTATGTATGCTCAAATGAAAAATATAATTAAATTAAGAGCTGATTTATAAAAATTAAAAAGCGAAATTAAATCGTAAAAAAAGTAAATTGAAAGTGTTAAAAAATCATAGGAAATCAAATAAAACAATTTAAAATAAATTATCTACCATTTTTCTCAATTGTATTTACGTTTTGGAAAGTTAGGAGAATCCGCAACCAAAAATAATTGATTTGTAAGCCGTGGTTAACAATTCGTAAGCCAAAGCCCAATAAAATACTATTATGTATATTAACTACACACATGTTTAAAAAACTTAAAGTTAAATTCACAATTATAAAATAAATAAGTGAATAAATTATATTTATGCAAAAATTAATACAAAAGCTTTGTGCAACAAGTAGAAAGCATTACATTTAGTTAAACCTATATAATTTTGTAAATTATCATTTTTAATAAGCAAGGAAATCAAAAAAATTGCATTTGTATTAATCTAGCAGCAAAGCTGTGCTAAGTGCCGGTTTTAGTTTTGGTTATTACAAAGTGTTTGTTTTTCGTTATTTTTTGTCATCTGTTGGAACATTGCTTCTAGTTCTGGTTTTAATCATTATTGTGTAGATGCTCTGCATATTCATCGTATTCCTCTTCAGCCTCATTCTGCTCATCTTCCTCCTCCTCCGCCTCGTAGTCGCTGGTGTTGCTCTCAGGGGCCGTCACATCGGGCAGGTAATCTTTGTGCACAGGTGTGGAGATAACCGGCTCCTAGAGATGAGTTAGATTAGTGTGCGTGTGAGACCTTACTAGTTAAAAAGTGCAAAGAAAATTTAGCTAGTTGCTGTTACGTTAGCTATGTATGTGTTATGGTTGGTCTGCGATATTACTAAACATGCAACGTTTGCGCTTGGTTAATGCTAAGAAACCCATTAAAATTTTGAAAACCAACACCAACACAAGATAAACTACACTCTCTACGTTATTTTGAAATGTAATAAATATTGTAATTATTATTGTCCACTTCATGCTAACCTTGGGTGGTCGCCAACCACAACCCGGCAGCGGTAAGCCATCAGAGCCCAGCGGGCAGGGCGCGTCTAGTCCCGGTACACCCTGCTCGCCCTTGTCGCCGCGATCACCTTTGCGTCCACGTTTGCCCGGCGGTCCAGCATCGCCGCGTGAGCCCTTCTCGCCACGTGGTCCCTCCTGACCGGGTATGCCATCGGTGCCCTGTTTTTTTTTATTAATGCCAGATATCCAAAAAACAGTTTTGATTTGGCATACACACAGAGTTACAAATACCAACACAGTTACACATTGAGACACGTTCATACATGTATGGGGGAAGGGAGTCAATAGCAAGTCAAACAACGGTTTAACGGTTTACAGTTGATTATACATAAGTATGTGTACGGTTAAGTTTAGGTGTTTCCCAATACACGAGCTCGTATTTGTTGTTGTTGTTGTACAAAGTGCAAATGCAACAGAAGTGAGAAAAAATAAATAAATTGGGAAACATGTAGTGTGTGCTAAAACATTTAGTATAGATATTCAGTAAGTGGCAAATAAAAATGGTTTGAAATAAATAAGTGGAAATACATATATGCACGAAGCTGTCTTGTGCCCATTAGCATGCAGTTTTAAGTGATAAATAAAAAAAAAAAAATAAAAAAATACAAACATACACCATTAAGAAATGCTAATTTTGTAGTGTATACCGTATTGATCATTTCGTTTACTAACCGGTAGACCAGGATCGCCGCGTTCACCTTTGTGTCCAGTTTCACCTTGAGCGCCCTGGAAGACAGTATTGTTATTAGTAAATGCGTTGGGTGACTTTTCAGCGAACTTACCTTCATGCCATCTAAGCCTGGTGGACCCTATTAAGGTTGAAGATAAAATTAAAATGTTTTTCTCTTATTAGAAGCGAAATAATAAAAACTATAATAT